ATTCATCTGAAACCTTTCCACCATGGGTGACCCTGCTGGTTATTTAAAACACCGGTGGCATAGCCCTCAGAATCACAGCAACTCAAACCACCACAGTACGACAGACAGATGAGTGGTGGCCGTTTGGTTTTATGGGGGGAGGGGGTAACAAAAGCATGAAGTGACTGGTGTATAAGTTTTTAAGAAGGAGCTTAGTTTCAGAGGGTGCGGGGAAAGGCAGAATCTCCACTGAGTGGTTTCCAATCTGTCTAGATGGGCTGGTGAAAGGAGATGGGGATAAGATTCCTGTGGTTCAATAGTGAATAATTGCTATCAGGACTGATTGTGAATGTGGCAAATGTAAATGAAGACAGTTTGTAACAAAAGGAAGGGAGTGGTTAATCTTGCAGTCCAGGAGCGGAAGACCCTGGAATCATCAAGGGAGAAGAGTAGAGTGTGGGACTCTATCCAGAGAAGCAGTGATGCCAGAGATGGAAGCAGAGACAATGACGTGGACAGATGGAGCGGCTGGGAACTCTAGACTTAAGGAGGGAGAAGGGGGGTGTGCTGGTGGCCAGGGAGCACGCTTGCAGGGTATGCCCTTTGGTTGTATGAATGGTTATATATTACTGTGTGCTTCAGTGTACACCAAAAAAAAAAAAAACAAAAAAACCCAAAATCCCAGAGGAAATGGTAGCAAATGCTGTTGAATGATGATGCATGGAGGAGACTGTAATCATTACAATGAAATGAAATACGATAGGATGAATGTAAAGCTGATGTCCTCCCATGTAAACTATCACTCAATTCACAATAAAAACTTTAAAAAAAAATTACTGAGGAAAATTTCCGGGTCAGCAAAAAAGCGGCATTGGCAAAAGATCAGTAAAACCACAAATAAACCTCCAGATACAAAGAATAGGGGAGCAGACTGTGGACAAGTGGTAGAATCTATCTCCTTGTCAGGCAGGTAGGATAGAAATGAGATAAAACAAAAAACTATCTCCTTGTGTGTCTGGGACTCAGCCCAGCTTGTAAGTCCTCCCTCCTTGTTCAACTATCCAGCAGGCACTATCAACCATCAGCTACACATTAACCTCCCCCTTAACCAGTTTTCAGCACAGGAACGAAACAGGTCATGTCAAGTATCCCAGATGCCCTCACAATGGAATCCATCTTGAAATCTTAGACTCCATCATGATTGCCAGATGTGAGGGCAGCTGGAGAAAAAGCAGAGAAGGAAGTGACACAAGAGAACGGAACTAAGCAAACAGAAAGTCCACCTCCTTTTGGAAGGAAAGAATTTCTCCCCATAAATAAATGTCAGGCTGTAAGCATGTTGAGATGATGTAGCCTTTGGCATGTCACGTCTCCCCTGTAGGTATTCTTTAATAAACCTCTTTTATACTGTATTTCATGACTTTCTAGTCTTCAGTAATCTGACCCCATAACAGTGTATATATCCTTGATCTGTTCAAACAACTACCTCTTGATCTGTGTGCAGGTTCTACATGAGCACAATTGTGTTGTGAAATTCCCATTCTTCACAAAGTTATCCATAATCTGTTACCATGAACACTGTTGAAGCTATTGCTAGTCAAAAGAACAAATGCAAATATCTTTCTGGTATTTTCTTTTTCAGCCAAGATCCATTCATCTGAAATCAACAATGTTAACCCTCATTCCATGTCCTCTTCTGAATCCAACCTGAATTTCTCGCAATTACCTGTCAATGTATGGTTGCAGTCACTTTTGAATTATCTTCAGCAAAGTTTTGCTTTCATGTGATATTAAGGACATTATTTGATAATTTCTACATTTCACTGGATCACCTTTCTTTGGCAAATGGTTGAGAGTGCCAACATTTGTGATCAGAAGGAAGAACTGGAACAAGTAAAGGATCCTGAGAAGGAGCAACCAGTGTACTGGGTGAACTAATAAAAGAATGTGATGCTTGGGAAGTCAAGAGTGAAAAGCAGATTTCAAAAAGGTAGGAATGTTCAACTCTGTCAAACTCTATTAAGAGTTCCATTGCTCTAAGGAATACAATAGACCACTGAAGTTTGGTAAGATAGAGGTCCTTGGTAACCTTGACAACACCTATGACAGAATAGCGGATGGACTGTAGCTGTATTATTAAGACATGTCCCATTGCATAGGTGGGGAGTCAGAAACTAAAGATAGTACATTTCAAACAGTGCTGCCTTTCTTCCCAAGCTGACTATATAACCCAAGATTTTTTTCTCTTGCTCATCTGTAAAAAAAAAAAAACCAAATTCATTGTCATCAAATTGATTCTGATTCACAATGAACCTGTAGGGCAGACTAGAAATGCCCCACAAAGTATAAAAAGCTTTGATCTTTACAAAAGCAAAACACTACATCTTTTTTCCTACACCTGGTGGGTTCTAACCACTGTTTTAATTAGCAGCTGAGCACTTAACCATTGGGTCAGCAGGGCCCCTTCAGCTGAAAGACTGCTAAATTTAAATGTAGTAAATTTTAATGTAGTAACTGGTAAATTTTAATGTAGTGAAACTGTATAACAATTCAGCAAATTGTCGTTGTTATTATTAAGTGCCATAGAGTCTGTTCTGATTCATAGCAATCCTATATACTGTTTCCGAGGAGTGGCTGATGGGTCTGAGCCACCAATCTTGTGATCCAAATTGACACTGTGGTCAAGTACATCTCTTACAGCACCACACCAGAACTCCAATCTAGTAAATTAAGAGAATGTCATAGTGGTTACAAATCAGGCTGCTAATCTCAAGGTTAACAGTTTAAAACTACCAGCTGTTCCATAAGAGAAAGATGGGGCTTTCTGCTTCCATAAAGATTACAGCCTCAAAAACCCTATGCAGGGTCATTATGAGTCCGAACTGATTCCACAGCACACCCCCACTACCACCACCAAGTTTCATCTGTGGGTTAGTGCGCCAGACTGCAAAGCCATTTGAACTGCAAGGTTGGCAGTTCAAGCTCACCAGCTACTCCTAGGAAACCCTATACAGGGTTGCTATGGGTCGGAACTGACTTGACAGCACTAAACAACAACAACAACTAAAGAAAGGTTTTTAAAAAAAGTAAAGTAGCATATTAATGAAATGCTTTAGCAGAAATAAAATATCACACTTACACTTTGTCCTCCAGAATCTTACAGATATTCTTCAATTCTTCAACCTTTTTTTCCCACTCCTGTATTGATTCGTTTAGCTGTGCTATCTCTAAATTGTGATCACTAAGAACCTAATGAAAAAATTTAAAACTATGAGTATATATATCCAATAACTACCAACAGGTTCTTGACAGCAATACAACTGCTAAATATTTATGTAGTCCTCAACCTTTACATTGAGGGTGTCCTTTAGTTGGAAAAAAAAAAAAAAGCATTATAATTGTACCTTCATAAAACAAACATGAACAGAAATTAGTTCTGAAATCATCAGAAACCACTCCTGCCCCAAAGAAAGTTTTTGTGTATTGTTAAGGGGGGGGGGGGGAGGGGCATCAAATATGGCAGTGGGAATCTGGAAACTAGAAAGGGATCTCTTAAGAGAACCACTTAAGACATAAATTCATTTTATTGCCTGCCTACTGGTTTCTAAAAGTTAAAGTCCAAAACAATCTATAGATTTAATACAATACCCATCATAATTCCAACAACTTTCTTGGCATAAATAGAAAAATTAATCCTCAAATTTATATGACATTATAAAGTGCCCCAAATAGTTAAAGGGAATTTGAAGGAAAAAAAAGCAGAGTAGAAAGCCTCACACTTCCCAATCTCAAAGCATACTATGAATCTACAGTAATGAAAACAGCCTAGTAATGGTATAATAGTAGCCACAGAGGCCAATGGAATAGAATTGACAGTCCAGAGTTAAGTACACACATTTATGGTTAATTGATCTTCAACATGACAACTGGATTTCTATATGCAAAAGAATATGTTTGACCCATATCTCACATCACACAAAAACACGAGCTAAAAATGGATCAAAGACCTAAAAGTATAAAACTCTTAGGAAAAAACCCCAGAAGTAATGCTTTAGAGTCCAGTTGTCAACAATGGATTCTTAGATATGACACAAAGGTCACATGCACAAAAGACAAAGTAAACAGCACCTCATTAAAACTAAAGACTTTTGTACAGCAAAGGACTTTATCAGTAAAGTAAGGCAAAAACTTATGGACTGCAAGAAAATGACTGGAAGCCATATACTGGAGAAGGTTTTAATATCCAGAATATATTAAGAACTCCTACAATGATATGGTTATGAATCGGGCTGTTAACCTCAGGGTCAGCAGTTCTAAACCACCAGCTGTTCTGATCCACGGGAGAAAGATGAGGCTTTCTGCTCTCATAAAGATTTACAGCCTCAGAAACCTTGTGCAGGGTCGCTATGAGTTGGAACCGACTCCACGGTACATAACAACAACAACAAAGACATATATCCAGAATACATTAAGAATTCGTACAACCACCACTTGTTTGTCAGTTTGTCGTACTGTGGTGGCTTGTGTGTTGCTGTGATGCTGGAAGCTATACAACAGGTAGTTTAAATACCAGCAATATCACCCATGGTGGACAGATTTCACCTGAGCTTCCAGATGAAGACAGAGTAGGAAGAAGGAGAGACTGATTACTTCTGAATATATAGTCCCTGAAAACCTTATGCATAGCAATGGAATACTGTCAGCACCAGAATATTAAATGTTGACACATGATAAAGAGCACCAGAATATTGTCAGATATGGTGCTGGAAGACGAGCCCCTTAGGTTGGAAGGCACTCAAAATGCAAGTGGGAAAGAGCTGCCTCCTTAACGTAGAGTAGACTGTGATGCCATGAATGGAGTAAAGACTTCAGGACCTTCATTTGCTGATGGAGCACAATTTGAAGAGAAACAGCTGGAAAGAAGTACTAATAATTGGAATATAGAATATAAGAAGTATGAAGCTAGGAAAATTGGAAATTGTCAAAAATGAAATGGAACACATAAATACGGATATCCTTGGTAAAGCATTTGGGACCTTCATTTGTTGATGGGGCACAACTCAAAATGAAGAGAAACAGTTATATATATAAAAAAAATCAATAATCAGAACATGGAATGTAAGAAGTATGAATCTAGGAAAATTGGAAATTGCAAAAATGAAATGGAACGCATAAACATCATTAGTGAGCTGAAATGGACTTGATTGGCCCTTTTGGATTTGATAAATCATATGCTTTACGATGCCAAGAATGACAAATTAAAGAGGTATGGCATTATATTCATCATCAAAAAGAAGATATCAAGATCTGTTTTGAAGTATAACGCTGACTGTAATAGGATAATACCCATGTGTCTACAAGGAAGATCAGTTAATAATACCACTGTTACTCGAATTTGTGAACCAACCACTAAAACCACTGATGCTGAAACTGAAGAATTCTATCAACTTCTTCAGTCTGAAATTGATCAAACATGTAATCAAGATGTATTTATAATTACTGGTGACTGGAATGCAAAAGTTGGAAACAAAGAGGAAGGATCAGTAGTTGGAAAATATGGCCTTGGTGATAAAAATGATAATGGAAATTACATGATAAAATTTTGTAAGACCAGTCACTTCTTCACTGCAAAGAAGTTTTTAACAACATAAAAGACGATTATATACATGGACCTCACCAGATGGAATACATAGAAATCAAATTGACTCATCTATGAAAAGCAACGATGGAAAATCCCCAAACCAAAACAAGGCCGGGGCAGATTGTGGAACAGGTTATCAATTGTTCATATTCAAGTTTAGGCTGAAGCTGAAGAAAATTAAAACAAGTCCCCAAGAACCAAAATATGATCTTGAACATATTCCACCTGAAACTAGAGATCATCTAAAGAACAGAGTTGATGCATTATACACTAAAGACCGAAAACTAGAAGAGTTGTGGGATGACATAAAGAACACCACACAGGAATAAAGCAAAAGGTCATAAAGAAGACAAGAAAGAAGGAAAAGACCAAAACATATCTCAGAAGAGACTCTGAAACTTGTTCTCCAGCATAGAGATGCTAAAGCAAATGGAAGAAATGAGGAGGTGAAAGAGCTTAGTAGAAAATTTCAAAGGTCAGCTAGAGAAGACAAGGTAAAAAATTATCAGGAAATGTTCAAAGACTTGGAGTTAGAAAACCAAAAGGGAAGAATACACTCAGAATTTCTCAAGCTGAGGGAACTAAGGAAAAAAATCAAGCTTTGACATGAAATATTGAAGAATTCTTTGGGCAAAATATTGAATGATGCAGAAAGCATCAAAAGAAGACAGAAAGAACAGAGTCACTGTACCAAAAAGAAATGGTCCATGTTCAACCATTTCAAGAGGTAGCATATGATCAAGAGCCAATGATACTCAAGGAAGAAGTCCAAGGTGCGCTGAAGGCATTGGCAAAGAACAAGGCACCAGGAAATGATGAAATACAAATTAAAATCTTTCAACAAACTGATGTGGCATTAGAGGTACTCACTCATCTATGCCAAGAAATTTGGAAGACAATTACCTGGCCAACTGATTGGTAAAGACCCATATTTGTGCCTATTTCAAAGAGAGGAAACCCAACGGAATGCAGAAATCATCGGGCAATATCATTAATATCACATGATAGCAAAATTTTACTAAAAATAATCCAAAAGTGGTTGCAACCATACATTGACATAGAACTTCCATAGGTTCAAGCCACGTTCAGAAGAGGATGTATAATGAAGGATATCATTGCTGATGTCAAATGGATCTTGGCTGAAAGCAGAGAATATCAGAAAGATGTTTGTTTACCTGTGCTTTATTACCTATGCAAAGGGTTTCGATTGTGTGGATCATGACAAGCTATGGACAACACTGAGAAATATGAGTATTCTGGAACACTTAACTGTGCTCATGAGGAATATGTTCATAGACCAAGAGGCAGTTGTTTGAATAGAACACGGAAACACTGAATGGTTTAAAATTAGGAAGGTTGTGTGCCAGGGTTGTATCTTTTCACCATACTTATTCAATCTGTATGCTGAACAAACAATCTGAAAAGCTAGATTATATGAAGAAAAATGTGGCATCAGGATTGGAGGAAGACTCATTAACAATCTGCATTATGCAGATGATACAATCTAGCTTGCTGAAAGTAAAGCAGACTTAAAAATACTGATGAAGATCAAAGACCACAGCCTTCAAAATGGGTTTCATCTCAATATAAAGTATACAAAAATCTTCACCACTGGACCAATACAGAGCATCCATATAAATGGAAAAAAGATTGAAATTGTCAAAAACTTCATTTTGCTCGGATCAATCAACATTCATGGAAGCAGCAGTCAAGATATCAAATGGCATATTGCATTATGTAGATCTGCTGCACAAGACCTCTTTTAAGTGTTGAAAAGCAAAGATGTCAGTTTGAGAAGTGCACCTGACTCAAGCAATTGTATTTTCAATGACCTCACATGCATGTGAAAGTTGGACAGTAAATAAGGAGGACCACTGAAGAACTGATGCATTTGAGTTATGGTATTGGAGGAGAATATTAAAAGTACTACAGACTGCCCAAAGAACAAACAGATCTGTGTTGGAAGAAATACAGTCAGAATGCTCCTTGAAGCCAGGATGTCCAGACTTTGTCTCTCATACTTTGGACATATCATCGGAGGGACCAGTCCCTGGAGAAGGATATTATGTTTGATAAAGTAGAGGGTAGGAGAAAAAAAGGAAGCCCCCTAAGTAGATGGATTGGTACAGAGGCAACAGCAATGGGCTCAAATGTGGCAACAATTGTGAGGTTGGCACAGGACCAGGCAGTGTTTCATTCTGCTGTACACAGGGTTGCTGAGTTGGTACCAACTCAATGGCACCTAACAACAAGAAGAACAATGTACAGGATTCCAAAGGATACAAACCAAACATGGTTAGTTGGTTGGCTTTAAATTTTCTTCTGTTGTCTGATCAAAGAGTTTTTTACTTTCCATTTATTCCCTTTTGTCAGTACTAACTCAACAGCACCTAACAACACAACCTAACAATCTGCAAATCCAAAGATGAAAGAGTATTAGTGGTTTCAGAAGCAGGAAGGAGGAGGAATCACTGTTTAGGAAGCACTGAGTTTCTGTTTATGATGATGGAGAATTTGTCAATGAACATTGGTGATGGTTGCACAACTTGATGGTTGTTGCTGTTGTTAGATGCTGTCCAGTTGTTTCTGCCTCATAGCGTCCCTATGCACAACAGAATGAAACATTGCCCAACTGTGTGCCATCTTCACAATCATTGTTGATGTTTGAGCCCATTGCTGCTGTCCCTGTGCCAATCCATCTCTTTGGGGTCCTCCTCTTTTTCACTGACCTTCCACTTTACCAAGCACGATGTCCTTCTCCAGGGACTGGTCCCTCCTGATAATATGTCTGAAATTAGTTTGAACCGCAAGGTTGGTGGTTCAAGCTCACCAGCTGCTCCTCAGAAACTCTATACAGGGTTGCTTTGCGTCAGAATGGACTCGATGGGACTTAACAACAAGAAGTACTGAATATAGTAGTTTTGGTGTGGCACTGCAGGATAATGCACTGTACCTTAAGGTTGGTTTGAACCGCAAGGTCGGCTGTTCAAATATTCTGGGATTTCAGAGCCTAAATATAAATGCTGGAACTATCTAAGGCCCAATAGTTCAGTCAGAAGCATCACAGAAAGGTATAATTTGGGGTATCTTCCACTCACTTTTTCCTCCTGGCATGACTGGGATGTTTCTATGCTACTCACAGGTGTTTCTCTGACCCCACACTATATTCAGGATTAAACTGCACAATAACCCATAGCACCACACCAGGTTTAGAAGGTGTCCAAGGGTCACGGTGTGGCACTGTAGGATAAGCACTGGATTGCATGGTCAGTGTGAATTGCAGAATCAGTGGTTCAAACTCAGTAGCCACTCCTTGGAAACCCTATACAGGGTCACTGGGAGTAGGAACTGACTCAACAACACTTAACAACAGCAGCATGGGTGGTAATGGACTCCTGGTTTGAAGCTGTTGGATCAGCACTGGGTTCTGCTCCTGTAAAGACTTACAGCCTCAGAAACCCTACACAGGGTTTCTATGAGTCATAACTGACTCCACAGCAAATAACCACCACTACCACCAAGCCTAACCTGGCCCATTTTTCCTTATACTGTTGAAATTTTAAAACAAAATTACAATGATCTTCTTACATGTATGTCTTTAAAGGCATTTTATTTTTAGTTTACTGATGCTTTTTAATTAAATACCATAATGACCAGAACCCCCATATTAAGTATAATGGGATTAAATGAATTTTCTGATAAGAAAGCTGATTATTTCAATATTGCTGTTTTACCATATAGTTTTACACATAGAAGAAACACAGTAAAAGCTCATTAAGTCAACTGTGGTAGGTTAACAGTTGTTTCTGTTTTAGTTAACACAGAAATGATACTAACAGTAAGTATTTCAACTAAACATCTCCATAAGACTTCATTTTTTCATCTTTAAATACGGATAATCCTCGCAAAGTACTTAACACTCTGCTGGTATTCTAACCAGGTTATCCATTTTTTTAAATCGAAGTTCAGAGCTCTGAAGTATTTTCTAATTTAGATAAACAATCCTTTTTCTATATTAATTTAACCTTACCTAGTAACAATGGAAAACCTAAATTTTATTTTGTTCCCAAACACATAGAATGAAACATTCAGGTTATTTGTTACGTAAGATAAAGCAATCATGGAGATATGCTAAATATCAACATCTTTGGCTAGTCTGTATGCATTTTTTTTAAATCAACATTTTCATAGTATTTTCTCCCATCAAATGAAATTTGTACCTAAAGGATTCCAAACATCTTTCTTTTCACCATGTTCCTGGAGACAAAGAAAACAGAACACCATAATACTTTAAAGTAAGTGTCAGGAAGTGTTGGCATGCTAAAAAATTCTCCCAGAATGACACGGAGATAAAGAAATCACCTGCTACCAGTCATTTAGGGAGTTCGTTGACTCCATGCAATAAACACTGGATTGCAAACCATGGATAGGAGGTTCGAATCCACCAGCCACTCCGCGGGAGAAAGATGAGGCTTTCTATTCCTTCAAAAAATTACAGCCTCAGAAACCCTATACAGGCTTGCTATGAGTCAGTCGGAACCGACTTGATGGCACTTAACAACCATCGCCAGTCATTTAAAATTATATCTTGAGGTGCTCAAGTCGGGCTTGAGAAAACATTTTATTCTTTCTTACCACTGTTTTGGAAGTGACTGTTTGTTTCATTTTTGACATTTTAGTACTTAATCTATCCAAATCTTTCTTCTTCCTAAAAGCCTGCAATCTTTTGTGTTCACACACTTTTTTAATATCTTCAATCTATAGGGATAAACATAATAAATCAAACAAAAGACAATTAGCATAACAATGTTTAGGAAATAAATATATTTTTAAATTTGTCAATAGATCTTTTCTGAAACCCATCCAATCTAAGTATACCAACTGCAGCAATAACAACAAAAAACAGGGCTTGCTAGTTTTGCAACTTTATAGATAAAAGAGTAACCCTCAAAGGACCAAACTATAATTGAAAATACAAAACAGTAAACGTATAAGGACAGGTATAACAATTATAATTAATAGCAAAGTATAAAAGCAATTACCTTATATTTAAAGATATCCAGCTACCATTACATACAAGAGAGCTTCAAAAATTTTGTGGAAAATAGAATTGAAAGATAATGGATTTTTCCCACAAACTCTTGGAAGTCCCTCGTATTTATTTAATTTCCCACAAAATTCAAAGAGTGTCAATTTTCTTCCCTTTTTAACCCACATGCCTAATAAATTTGAATATATTTTAAAGGTAAAGATGATATTTTTTTTAAAAAAGCAATTACCATCATAATTATTTGCTGGTAAAACATCCTGGCAATGGTTCCCAAATTTACAGTATACTAGATTTTATCCTACCCAGAAACCCCTCAGCATGGACAAGCCTAAGGATCTGCTTCTGAAGGTGACAGCCTTGAAAACTCTGTGAAACCATTCTATTCCAAATAAGGGTCACCAGGAGTGCAGCTTGACTTGATAGTGCGACAGGGGAACACTGAATGTTTTAAAATTGGGAAAGGTGTGTGACATGGTTGTGTTCTTTCACCATACTTATTCAACCTATATGCTGAGCAAATAATATGAGAAGCTGGGTTCTATGAAGAAAAACGTGGCGTCAGGATTGGAGGAAGACTCATTAACAACCTGCGATATGCAGATGATACAACCTTGCTTGCTGAAAGTGAAGAGGACTTGAAACATTTATTTATGAAAATCACAGAGCACAGCCTTCGGTATGGATTGCATCTCAATGTCAAGAAAACAAAAATCCTCACCACTGGACCAATAAACAACATTCTTATCAATGGAGAAAAGATTGAAGTTGTCAAGGACTTCATTCTTCTTGGATCAACTATCAACACTCGCGGAAGCAGCAGTCAAGAGATCAGACGACGTATTGCATTGGGCAAATCTGCTGCACAGGAACTTTTTAAAGTGTTGAAGAGCAGAGATGTCAGCTTGAGGACTAAGGTGCGCCTGACCCAAGCCAAGGTATTTTCAATAACCTCATATGGATGCGAAAGCTGGACAGTGAATAAGGAAGATCGTAGAAGAATTAATGCCTTTGAGTTGCGGTGTTGGAGGAGAATACTAAAAGTGCCATGGACTGCCAAAAGAACCAATAGATCTGTTTGTTTGTTTGTTTTAATGTTTTATTGTGAATTATATGATAGTTTACATGAGAGAACCTTAGTCTTACATTCATTCCATCGTTTATCATCCCATTGCCATGGTTGCAATCCCCTCCATGCATCATAGTTCTGTTTTGGAAGAAGTGCAGCCAGAGTGCTCCTTGGAGGCCACTAGGGCTAAACTTCATCTCTCATAGTTTGGACATATTGTCCCGAGGGAACAGTCGCTGGAGAAGGATGTCATGCTGGGTAAAGTGGAGGGTCAGAGAAAGGGAGGAAGACCCCCAGTGAGATGGATTGGCCAGGTGGCATCATTGATGGACTCAAGTGTGGCAGTGGTAGTGAGGTTGGCCCAGGATTGGACATTGTTTCATTCTGCTGTGCATGGGGTCACTATGGGTCAGTTCTGACTCAATGGCACCTGACAACAACAACAACATAAATGACAACAGCAGACCAGAGAGTTAGAACAAAAGAAAGGATTGTGTGAAAACCCAAATCCGCATTTTTACTGGGGAGCAAAACAAAGAAAGGGGACCTTCCAATTTTGAGCAACTCTTTACCATTTTACCAAAATCAAACCTATTCTGATCATTGGGTAGAACCTGTTGAAGTGTGTCACCCTTGTATCAAAATTAAACTCATGACAAAATGAATGGTCAAGAATAAAGTTACCTAATAAGGCCTAGGAGTCCTGGTGTGGCGCTGTGGGTTAATGCGCCAGACTGCAAAGCCGTTTGAATTGCAAGGTTGGCGGTTCAAGCTCATCAGCTACTCCTTGGAAACCCTATACAGGGTCACTATGGGTCAGAACCAATTCGATGGCACTTCACAACCACAACAATAAGGCCTAAGAAAGAACACTCAATGCTATCACACAACTATGAAAACATATGTCTGGGTGACTTTGCACCAGCAGTTTTACCAGCCTACTCGGAATAATGGGAACATTAACAATGATCGCTGTATCATGGGAATAGATGTATACGAAAGAAATTTTGTGATCCATATATTTCATTGATATTCTCATTCATGCTTTTTCTAATCATTTTCCCTTTGTTCTGTTCAAATGGTTGTCTCTTGATCTATGTAGAGGCTCCAAAGGAGCACAATTAAGTGTTCTGGAATACCCATTTTTTGCAATGTTGTTCATAGTTTGATATGATCTGCATAGTTGAATGCCTGTGGATGTCAATAAAACACTACTTTCTGGTATTCTCTGCTTTCAGCCAAGATCTATCTGACGTCAGTAACGATATCCTTCCTTCCATGTCCTCTTCAGGATCCAGCTTGAATTTCTGGCAGTTCCCAGTCAATGTGATACTGCAACTATTTTTTAATTCTCTTCAGTAAAATTTTAATTGCATGTGATATTACTAAATAATTTCCATATTCTGCTGGGTCATCTTTCTTTAGAATGGGAACAAATATGGATCTCTTCCAGTTGGTTAGTCAGTCAGCATAGACTAATGAGTGCTTCCAGTGCTGAATCAGTTTGTTGAAACATTTCAGTTGGTATTCCATCAGTTCTTACAGCCTTGTGTTTCTCTAATGCTTCCGTATAGTTCGGACTTCTTCCTTTAGTACCATCAGTTCTTGAACATATGTTACCTCCTGAAATGGTTGAACATTGTCCAGTACTTTTTGGTACAATGTGTATATTCCTTCCATCTTCTTTTGATTCTTCTACACACTTCCTTATTTTTCCCTTAGAACCCTTCAATATTTCAAATCATACAGTGAGTTTTTCTTCAGTTCTTTCAGCTTGAGAAATATTGAGCGTGTTCTTCCCTTTTGGTTTTCTATCTCCAGGTCTTTGCACATTTCATTTTGATACTTTTCTTTGGCTTCTCAAGCTGACTTTTAAATTTTTCTGTTCAGCTCCTTTACTTTATCATTTACTTCCAGACACTCTGATGTTATTGTTAGGTGCTGTCCAATAAGTTTCAATTCACAGTGACCCTACTTATAACAGAAGGAAACACTACCCTGTCCTGAGCCATATTCAAAATTGTTGTTATGTTTGAGCCCATTGCTGCTGCCACCCTGTTAATCCATCTCTTTTTTGCTGACCCTCCCCTTTACCAAACATGATGTTCTTCTCCAGGGACTGGTCCCGCCTGATAATATGTCTGTCCAAGGTATGAGAGACGAAGTATCACCATCCTGGCTTCTAAGGAGCATTCTGGCTATACCTCTTCCAACACAGGCTTATTTCTTCTTCTGGAAGTCCATGGTAATTTAATATTCTCCTCCAACACCATAATTCAAATGTATCAACTCTTCTATGGCCTTCCTTATTCACTGTCCAGCTTTAACATGCATATAAGGCTACTGAAAATACCATTGCTTGGGTTAGTTGCACCTTAGTCCTCAAACTTTTATCTTCACTCTCAAACACTTGAAAGAGGTCTGTGCAACTGATATGCCTAGTGCAATCTGACAATTCTTGACTGCTGCTTCCATGAGTGTTGATGGTTGATCCAAGCAAAATTAAGTCTTTGACAACTTCAATCTTTTCTCCATTTATATGGGTATTGTTTATTGGTCCAGTGGTGAGGACTTTTGTTTTCTTTACATTGAGGTGCAACCCATACTGAAGGTTGTGGTCCTTGATCTTCATCAGTAAGTATTTCACATTCTTTCCCTTTTGAGCAAGCAAAGTTGTGTCATCTGCATATCACAGGTTGTTAATGAGTCTTTCTCTAATCATGATGTCATGTTCTTCTTCATATAATCCAGTTTCTTGGATTATCTGCTCAGCATACAGATTGAGTAAATATGGGCAAATGATATAACACCGGTACAAACCTTTTCTGATTTTAAATCATTCAGTATCCCCTTGTTCTGTTCTAACAACTGCCTCTTAGTCTATGTACAGGTTCCTCATGAGCACAATTAAACTTCTGGAATACCTATTTTTCACAACTCTATAAAGTTGTTTGAACTGCACGGTTGGTGGTTCAAGCTTACCAGTCGCTCCTCAGAAACCCTATACAGGGTTGCTATGGGTCAGAACAGACTCGATGGCACTTAACAACAACAACAATCCACAGTTCGTCATGGTCTACAAAGTCAAAAGCCATTGCATAGTCAATAAAGCACAATCTTTGTGAGTTTTAATTGCAATGGCAAAGTGGATAGTCCAGGTTTTTCTTACCTACCCACTCACATTTCCAGGGTCAGAACAGGATGGAGGATTATTCTCACCATTCTCCTGTCCCTGATTCACTGGGGTACTAACTCCTCCCAGCCCTCTATAGACTGGCCCTCTTGGAGTAGGACCAGTAGGCTGTGGTGGGGCTAGAAACCTGTTTGAATATCTGGTCTTCTTAGTAGACACACCGTCTCAGAACTGTGAAAGAACCAGATGAGATGGCAGCAAATTCCTTGTTCTTATACATGTGAGCAAGGGGCCCAACCCATGTTTACAAATCCTTTCACTTGTATTCTTCCCCATGACCCAGGCCTGCGTTCCACAACAGATGTCTCCCACAAGAGGTGTCATGTGTTTTTGAGTCTCTGACTCTCTTATGATCTTTGTGTTCACATAAGTGAAGGATAAATACATTTTTTCCCATTTTCTGCATTAGGTTCTGATCACTTCTGCATCTTGTTAAAAAACAAATTCTGCCATTTACCTGTGTACTCAGTTTTTTTTTCCTTAACATATAGTCTTCTTCATTTTTTTTCATGTTCTCCTTTGCCTGCTGCAGACATTGCTTCTGTACTTCAATTTTTTCTTTCTCTAAGTTGATCTTGGTGTAAGTCTCATTTATGTAAATGGTTGTAGCGGCTTTTTTTTCCATTGTGTTGTTGAGCAACACGACAGACTTCTCATGGTGGTTCACTAATTCCTCTTGCTTTTTACTAGGAGAAAATAATCATTCATGGCATGAATAAGTATGTTGGTAGGTAAGAAATTAAAGTCTGTTTAGAGAACTAAATCACCTAAAGATTTATTTAAATAAATTATATTTGTTGTTGTTGTTGTTAAGTGCCGTGGAGTTTGTTCCGACTCATAGCGACCCTGTACAGGGTTTCCGAGGCTGTAAATCCTTACGGGAGCAGAACTCGTCTTTCTCCCGCAGAACAACTGGTAGTTTCGAACTGCTGACCTTGAGGTTCGCAGCCTGATTCGTAACCACTATGCTACCAGAGCTCCTTAAAGAAATTATATAGCGTACTTAATTTACAGCTGTGTTTGTAATGGTCTAAACTCAATTGAACTGGGGACAGAAGTAAACATGAGACATGTGTCAACCTTACAGTTTTTTTGCACTGCAAAAGTATCATATAGCCAGCTCCGCCTCTCTCCACCAATCCCCAGAGACCATGACAGGATACAGATGGAGTGTTTTGGTTTAAAGTATACAATGAATGATTCAGAAATAGTTATGATTGGGTCAATGGGATCTGGCCAGATGGTAGTCATAGGGTGGCGCTATAGGATAAGCACTGAGGTCATTGATTCAAACCCACCAGTCGCTCCTTGGAAACCGTATTCTGGTTGCTGTGAGTAGGAACTGACTCAACAGCACTTAAAAAGAACAACAGGTCAATAGAATCTGAACAGATAAATGTTTTGGTGTTAGGCAGTCCCTGGGTTATAGGTGTCTAATGTAAGGGCAATTCCTACTCGATTAAACAGGTTCTGTTATGGCTGATGAAGGGAAACAAGAACAGACTAGAATTTTTACAATTTTGGGGATTCAGGATGTTAAGCTGAATGGCAAACACTATGGATTATAGTCTTGGAATGGGAAACTCAGAAGAGGTGTAGTGAGTTGTTCAGGAGTCTGATGTGACGACTGTGGAGAGCCACACACACGAAGCAGTGCTCTCTGGTACCATCTTTGAACCAACCCTTATCTTTACTTCCTGCACATACAGCTTTTAAATAATCAAAAGGCTTTGAGCTTTTTCTTGCAGTAACCCACTGCCATCAAGTTGATTCCGACTCATAGCAAACATGTATAGGGTTCCTGAGGATGCAAATCTTTACAGGAGCCGAAAGTCTCATTTTTTCCCAGTGGAATGGCTGGTGGGTTGCCCTAGTAAGGCTAAATAAGAACCATATGCACTTGTTCAGACTGACCAACAAATTCAACTTAAAAACATAGCTAGGAATGGATCTCATAGTTAAATCTGGATAGCATTGCCAGTGGTTAGAGTACGAGGGGGCTTCAAAAAGTTCACGAAAACCTGGAATTTTTCCATAAACCTTTCAAAACCCTGTCACATGAAGTATTTTCCAAATGTATGAGCTAATGAACTTTGTTTTTCATGAAGTATCTCCCAGAACAAGTATTCTGTGGAAGCTACTTTGGGAAACATGTCTGGGCCTTGCTGGTCCTGGATTCCTGATACTTTTAGTTCTTGGGCACCAAGCAGCCTACTGATTATATTTTGGCTTCCCAAGAATATTTTCTTTTCTTGTGATAAAAGAACTACACTAGGGGGGTCTTTGAACATTTCTCATCCTGGCAAAATGACATTCTGATATTTATGTCAGCCATACAAATTTGCTCATGCTGAGTTATTTATTCTTCAGGGTTGGTTTGTTATTTCTTCCTGTCTTTTAAACTAGCTCTCTTTCTCTTATGAGTTGGGTAAACAAGAGTTGTGATTCCCATTTTACAGATGGAGAAAATGAGGCTCATGCAAGTAAAGCAATGGTCTGAGGCCACACAGTTTAGGTGTGAAGAGAAGAAAACTGACAGAGGTCATATTCTGGCTACTGGTGGTTACACATATTGTCTCATTTAATCACAGATAAAACATAGGACCCTCCCTTGAGAACCATACTCAGTCCTCTAATAGATTATGACCAAATTTCATGACGAAATAGTCATGCACAGCATCTTATCTCTAGTAGTCAAATGTTTGTCCAACCTCCCACACGTCCAGGTTACATATGGGTATGGCTTGTCTGAAGAAACCCCATAGTAGAGACAACTGGGTATTCCTAGATCAGGAGCTGAGAGGTGCATATATAAGATATATGATCCGAGACTACATATTTACAACAAAAAACAAACTCTTTGCCACTGAGTTGATTTCAATTCATGGTAACCCTAAGTGTTACAGAGTAGAACTGTTTCCTAGGGTTTTCTTGACTGCAATATTTATAAAAGCAGACCACCAGGCAGGCCTGTCTTCCCTGATGCCACTGCTAACTTTTAGGTTAGTGTCAAACACTCCCCAGGGACCTCACAATACAATGTAACACGCAACATGATTTCTTGCTTTGGTGGTGGTGGTTTATAAATTGAATTCTACTAAAATGAAAACAAAAACTACTGTGTGATTTACAAATAGTAACTGCTGCTGGGAAGCTGGGTTGTTGAAATTTTACATGTCTCCTGGCTGCAATGGTTGAAGATTTTCTACTCTCCTCCCTCAGGCTTCGGGAGCTCACATAAACCCTGGGCATCAGCCTGGGTCATCTCCTTCCGAAATTCACTGCCCTGGTGAGTTCAGATCAGTGGGTACACCTTGTAGGACACTCCTCCACTCCAGCCCTAGACTCCTCTATCACCTCAAACATGAAATGAAAATTACTTACCCCAGCATTTCATTAATTTCTTTCAGCTCATGTAGTCTCTTCTTCAACAACTTTGTATTGGTATCGATGCTTGTAATTCTTATATGTAATTGACTTATCTCAGAAAGATTTAACTGACGAGCATCTCTGACACACTCTTAAAAGTAAGCAGAAATGTTAATTAACGGAGACAGAGTATGATCTGATCATAAACAAATGAAAACATTCTCTGAAATGTTCTTTTTCACTGTGTTCTGGTATCAGACACCTCTTATTCACCACTTTAGATCCTCTCCGCCTCTCCTACCCAATCTTTCTCTTATTTCAGGGGCTACTGTGATGACCAGCTTTCTATGGGCAGTGATGGCACTCGGTTCCTGACTGCTCCATGCACCTCTCAGCTCCTGATCTAGGAATACCCAGTTGTCTCTACCATGGGGTTTCTTCAGACAAGCCATACCCATATGTAACCTGGACGTGTGGGAGGTTGGACAAACATTTGACTACTAGTAGATAAGATGCTGTGCATGACTATTTCTTCCTTTTCTCATGTTGATGGATGATCCTGAGAAGATGGAAGCCTGGCTTCAAAATCAGGTACATGTAGCATGGACAGTTTCCTAAGGCACAGTCCTACTGCCACTCCTTTCCCCCTGCCTTGGCCACCTTATCTTATCTTCCTGCAATTTGAATTGCACCCCCTACTAAAAGAATAAAAAGAAAAAGAAAAAAGGATAAAAGAAATACAAGGAAACTCCACTGAGTAGTATCCAATCTGTCTGGGTGGGGCTGATGAAAGGAAATGCGGATAGGTCTCTTGTGACACAATAGTGAATAATTGTTATCAGGACTGATTGTGAGGGTTAGAAATATAAAGGTAGACATTTTGTAGCAAGGATGGGAGTGACTGACTTTGCAGTCCAGGAGTGGAGGTCCCTGGGACCATCAAGGGAGAAGAGCAGGGAGTGGGACCCCACCCAGAGAAGCAGTGACGCCAGAGATGGAGGCAGAGATGGTGGAGAGACGGATTGGTGGGGACTTTAGACCCGGAGAGGGGGCTGTGTGCTGACGACTGGGGATGCAGGCTTGCAGGGTATATACTCTTTGGTTGGTTGATGATGCATGGAGGGGACTGTAACCATGGCAATGAAACAATATATGATAGGATGAATGTAAAACTAATGTTCTCCCATGTAACATAATTCACAATAAAACATTTAAAAAAAAAAAAGAAATAAAAGGAGACCTGATGTGGCATTGTGGGATAAAGCACTTGACCGCAAGGTCAGTTTGAATCACAAGATCAGTAGTTCAAACCCACCAGCTGCTCCTTGGAAATCCTACTGTGTTGTTGTTAAGTGCTGTCTAGTTGTCTCTGGCCCACAGAGACCCCGTATAAAGTTTTGGAGGAGTGTCTGGTAAGCTTGAACTGCCAATGTTGAAGTTCAAATCAACTTCTCAGTCCAGGGCATTAATCCACAGTGCCACACCAGGACTCCTGGAAACCCTATATATTTATGAGTTGGAACGAACTCGATGGTACTTAACAAAAACAACAACAAAAAATAATAGTACAAAATACATTGCCACAGGTTTTAATTTCTGCTGTATCCAATGTATTAAAGGACTAATTATTCATCCATTAATAACAGAGCAATGTAGTCACATATGCTTTCAGAAGATACTTCAGTGCATGACAGATAGAGGATCAATAAGCATGAATTTTAGACTGTTAGGAAAGGTCTGGATCACTCATTTCTATACAAAAAAATTCTGTAAAAGCTAGCTGGTAGCTCCTCTGTGAGAACAAAGATACTTTTTCTAGTTCTTCTAGACTAGTAGCTAAATTATTAATTCTACTGTCGTTACTAAGTGCCATTGAGTTTGTTCCAACATAGCAAACCTGTATAGGGTTTCTAAGGAAAGGCTGGTGAGCTTGAACTGCACACCTTGTGGTTCAAACTGACCTTGTAGTCCAGCGCATTAACCCTTAGCACCACACCAGGCTTTGCATCTCAAATATACATATGTATCACCCAGGGATCTTGTTGAATTGCAGATTCTTTGCAGTGAGTCTGGGGAAGGCCCAAGAGTCTGCATTTCTAACAAGCTCTCAAGAGTGAAACTAGTGCTACTAGTTCAAGGATTGCCCTTTAATAACAAAACTAACATAAAACGAAGTTAATCTATTTGGGTAAGCATTCAGTGTGTACCAAGAACCTTATGAACTAATATGGTATTTTTACCATCAAAACTGTTTTTCTTGATTATAAAAGTAATACAACCTGGAAACGAAATAAAATAAAATAAAAACTCATAATTCTGCCCTTGGTACATATCCTTCTGAGTTTTTATTTTTTTCTTTTCTTTCCTATACATTATAGTTTATGTTCCGGGAAAAAACTAGACATGAAGCGTTTTGTTTTATTATCTATTGTATCAGTTAAAGTCCATTTAGGAGACAGAACTCTCACAGGAAATAGAACAGACAAGGACTTCTAGGGAAAGATGGTGGAGTAGGCAGACATACTGAGCCACACCCCTGCAACAAAGACCTGGGGGACTGAGTGAAACAGATACAGATACAGATGGTGATCCTGGAACCCTGAGCATCAGAGGAGAGGACAGAGAGGTGAACTGAATACTGACTGGAAGAGGAAGCTGAACAGGAAGCTGAATGGGCAGACTGTGGGTTGTCATGGAAGGGATGTTGATAGATACATAGCCTGGAGGCACCGGACATGCATGGAGGTTGTAGGCAATGGGGAGCGGTTCTCCCTTGTTTATGTGCAATCCTGGTAGCTGGGGATTTGGCGACTCTCTGCCCTTGCCAACTCAGTGGCCAGTGACATTCCTCTTGTACAGCCTCATCTCTGCCAGGGGTTGGGCGCCTAGCATAGCACCCCTGATTCTGGAGGTGTGTTAACCTGCCCTAAACTATATTATATATGCAGAGAACAGAGAACTAACTTGGCTCACACTTTTGGTCTCTACCACATTCACCAGGAGACAGGTGGTGAGTGCCTGAGAACACACCAATATACAATCATCAACTAAATATAAATATGACACCACAATGTCTGGGAGAAAATGGACCATTTCAGCTTACACAAAGAATCAAGACAGAGTGCCTCAAACAAGTGACTAAAACATAGTCAGAAAATACAACCTCAGAAATGGTATCAGAATGACCTGATAAGGTTTAAAAAGAATATTAACTAGGCAACTTCAATGTATTGAAAAATGGTTGAGAAAACTGCAAGTGAAATCAAGGAAAACATGGATAAAGCTATAATAGAGTTCAGGAAACAAGATAACAAAATAAAAGAAAACATGGGAACGTACAAAAACAGTTACGAGAACACCAGAAGACTAACAGTAACACTTTAGAAATAGATAATACACTGAAAGGCCAAAGAAATAGAACTGACTCAATAGAAGGCTGAATTCCTGAGCTTGAAGAAAAATGTCTCAATATTCATATGCTAGTGGAATAATCAGAGAAAAGAAACATTCCCAAGATTTATATGGGACACTATCAAGAGGAATAACTTAAATATGTGATTGAGATTCCAGAACAGGAAAAGAGAGAGAGAGAGAGAGACAGAGACAGAGAGAGAGAGAGAGAGACAGAGAGAGAGAGAGAGAGAGGAAAGATAAGAAGACAGCCTTTCAAGAAGTTGAAAAAAAACTCCAAAAACATGATAGACCCCCCCAAAAGAAAAACACCAAGACATATTATAACCAAACTTTTCAAAGCCAAAAACAAGGGAAGAATCCTGAGAGCAGCTCAGGAAAAACAAAAATTTAATAATAAAGGAGAGCTAATAAGGAGCTCTGGTAGCGTAGTGGTTACGAATCGGGCTGCGAACCATAAGGTCAGCAGTTCGAAACTACCAGCTGCTCTGCGGGAGAAAGATGAGGCTTTCTACTCCCGTAAGGATTTACACCCTCGGAAACCCTGTACAGGGTCGCTATGGGTCGGAACCGACTCGAAGGCACTTAACAACAACAATAAGACTAAGCTCTGATTTCTCAGGAGAAATCATGCAGGCAAGCATAGTTGCCTCCCTGGCTTCTCCTGAGAAATCAGACAATGGGATGACATATATCAAACGCTGAAAGAAAAAAAAAAATCATCAATTAAGAATCATATAATCAGCAATACTGTCCACCAAATGTGACAGCAAAATTAGGTCATTTTTAAACAAACAGAAATTAAAAGAATTTGTAAAAATCAAACCAACCTTACAAAAAATACTAAAGGGAGTTTTTTGGATAGAGAACCAACAACAGACATCAAACTGAGACTAACATACATGACAATATTACCTAGACTCATCCAAGATACGAAAGTATTCAAAGAAAAACAGACCTACATGTCTGAAAATAGAAAGATACAGTTGCAACAACAATAAAAACCCATAAAGTAAAAAAGGGGGTAATTTACTTATAGAACTTCCAAATAAAGAGGAAATCAAGTAGATATCAAGAAAAAAATCAAATAAAACCCTAACTGTAACCCTAAAAGCTAGACTAAGCCTTACTCCCAGCACTGTTGTTGTTGTTAAGTGCTGTGGAGTTGGTTCCAACTCATAGTGACCTACATAGGGCTTCCGAGGAGCGGCTGGTGAGCTTGAACTGCCAACCTTGAGGTTCAAACCCACCTTGCAGTCCAGCACATTACCCCACAGCACATCAGCCTTAGCCCAAACCTTATTCCTTACATTAATTCTTAACTCTAACACTAAGCAAAGTTTTATATCTAGCCATAGTCCTGATCCTAACCCTCAACCCCTACTCCCAATCACCAGCCCACCAAAAAAAAAACTGAACGGGAAACATTTAATACAAAAGATTTTTACCTATACCAGAGGATTGGAATAATAAAGAATTAGATAATAAGCAAAAAAGAAAAGAGGGAATTACAAGTAACACAGAGAGAGCAGGCATAAGCAACAGCCATTATCACTGAGGCTAAGATTTTGCTCAAGGGAGAAGAATCCTGGGACTAAGATCCAGACTTTGGTGGATTTCCATAGGGCTGTGGTTTACTAGAAGGGGAAGAGGTTGTTAGGCACCACACTGGTTTACCTTCTGGGATGTTAGGGTAATCTGTCCACAAGGAGGTGCCATGTTCACTGCTAAACTACTTAA